TGAACGCTCGCACGCACCGCAGCGGTGCATCGTAGTGTACAGCTCGTCGAGATGAGTCGATTGCCGCATCGCTGACCATCAACGGACTAAAAATGACTGCATCACGGACATCATGCGAGAGCCGGGGTACCGCCATAAGGTTAAAATGTCACGAGATAGCTTTGAGACCGGAGAGCGTAAATACGGCATTAACACATGTTTGGTCGGCTACTGTACAGCATATATGACAAAACACATGATTGATAGCAGACAATTAACTATTTTTTATCATCATCGGAAGGTGTATGTATGAAATGTATTTTGCTTGCAAATTATAGGAATCCAGAATGAAAAAAATATGTTTGAGAGGAATATTGCAAGAACTTGCACGTAATTCTTCCTGTTTTCCTTTATGTTTAAAGAAAGTTTCCCACTTGTTCCAGTGTATCTGTTTTTGTTCAAAAGTACTGTGCTAATTTGTAATTTAAATTCTATAATAACGACAGGCATTTTACACAAAATGGGTGCATAGTATAATGTAGATCGTTTTATACATAAGTCAAACCACTAAATTTATATATTTCATAGGCTATGTTAAAATACGTAACCACCTGAGAAGCATCTGGCATTAATCTATCTTAAATACTAGTAATTTACCGACTGGCGGATCCTTTGTAATGCCAGTCTACCTCCAGACTCTAATCTGGAGGGAGAAACATGGAGATGCATTACAAAATACATATTAAATATGTAATTAGGTAGTGTGTGGCATTCCACAAATTATTAAGCTGTCAGAGCTGCATCGGAACTAATCTGATAGGATTTACAAATGATTCATTAGTTGGAATAATGTTCAAAATAGTTTGCACCAATGCTATAGATTGGCACTAAGGAAATGGTAAACATTATGAACATTTTTAAAAGCTACATTAATATATTGAATATTGGAGACTTAGCTGTTTACGAACAATCATTGCCTTTTTAAACATCAACATTATGCTTCACCCACTCCCTTTGCTTTGATTTGTAGGCCTATAATCATGCCCATCTCTATTGATAAAAAACACACAAAATAATCATGAGCGTTGTTGTGGAGAATATAAATAACAAAAAAGGCAAGCGGGCAATATAGCCGCTTCATATATCTGCACGTAAAAATGTAAAGTATTTATTTCACAACCCATCAGCCCAATGGCATTGGAGTACATAATTCCAGCAGCATTGATTCTGTACAAACTCTGGAGCGATTTTTTTCTACGGCATCTCATCGGAAGAGTCAGACTTGCTTGAAAAAATGCTGATGAACTGGGAAAATGCTTATGAACTAAGACCCGTATCTTAAAGAGAACCATTGCCTATAACATCTGTCAGTTCACCAGCAGCGATGAAAGCAAGCCTGATTGCAGATGAGAAACTGTTAAAACGGGTCCAGAGTTTGCTTGCACTGTGCTGAATCAGTGCTGCGGAAATTATGCACTCCCACAAGGCCATTGGGCCGATGGATTTTATTGATAGTGTGGCAGGAGTAAGTGACGTCAGTAGATTACATCGCTGGAATGATGTCAGGACGTGCGTGGCGTGGTGCACGTGGGAACCCCATTTACACTAAACACGAGAGGCACACCTGTCCAGGATATTGTGTATATCGTGAGCCTCAAACGTGATGCCAGGAGAATAAATACCCTCAAAGCTTAAGGAGGAAACTAAAACTGTAAAGCAATGGAAGTAATTATAAGTTCAAAGACTAATGGGAAAGTCCACAAGTAAGCCGACAAAAAATGTAATGAGAAAAAGAACAGTAATTGAGTTAAATATGGAATATAATCAATTACTGCCAGAAGAGAAGATTACAGCAAGAAGAATCGATTTCCATAATAATTGATTGCTACAGGAATAATTTATGACATTTAAAATAAGTCTTTGAAACACTAAAATTAGTCGAGGAAAACACAGTGTAGCCTTTGAAACAAACTTAGCTTGGATTTCAAACTCTAAACAAGTGGAGTAAAAAGTCAGAAAGGAAACTACGGAAAATAATCCATAAGAAACATTAAAGTACCTGCAACGATTGTCAAGAACACAAATAACTACTTTAAAAAGCCACATTGCAAGCACAACTGAGAGAAATGTTTAATGTTCAGTACCGAGAGCATGGGCAGTTCTTCATCCAGGAGTGGATGGACAATGCGTGATAGTGATCATAATGATAATGGTCATAATGATGAGGCTAAAGATAGCGATATCACTAAAGACCACTCTTTATCCTTGCTGTACAGCACAAAGTAAAGGCAAAAAGCATACGTAATTTTACTATTTCTCTTGCGTAAAGACTTATGGATTTCGTGCAGGGCCATTTAGACTACAGCACGTTATAATGTTGGTTATGTGCTTCTGCACATTGTTTATATGCGTGTCTTTGATCTGCACCGTACCTCACTTTTCTCCAAACCTAACAATTCACCTCTTGGTATATGTACTGTCAACATTATTTTAAACACTTCTTTTGAAGAAAAAAAATACAATGTTGTTGGACGGCTCTTACCTCAAACATTTGTAAATCTAGTAACATTTGTTTAACAGGCCTGACTGCTGATCAGACTTAAAGGGTCCGTAGGTTGCCTCCATCAAACAAACGCTGCTGTAAAACACTGCTCCACAAGGCCAATTGGCTGATGGACTAAAAAATATATATTACGTAGATGTAGACTCTTGACTTTTTATTATTTTTTCACCTATAATTATCCCAGACACACATTGAGTTTTCGCACGAAGTATTTGTCAGCTGTTATTGTGATCACAATATTTAGAAAATGTGCAAAACTACAAACCAAAAAGCAGAGAGATGAGCTCTGTATGTATGTAAAGAGGTTATCCTGGTTTACAAAAGTACAACAATCCGCATTGAAAGTTGTTTAAATATTAGTTACTGATACAGTGTTTGCACAAAATCTTAGCCAAAATACACAGATCAGAACTGTCAACACATGCATTTGCATTAGCACTGTTTACTGTTTTCCTTATTCAACGGAGAATAATTGTATATAAGTATGGTATACCAAACTGATATTTGCAGAGCAACGCAAAGGCACCAGGTTGATACTGTGTGACAGAGGGTTGAAAAAGTGCACTTTAAGTCAGAGTGGTAAGGAAAGAGAGAAGGAGCATTAACCCCTCTCTCCTCACAGCTGAGCAGCCGTCTTACCCTCAGACTGATAAATGGCTGGCATCTCAACGCCTCCACCCCCTACTCACCACCAGCATCTCCTACTCTCCTCCATCCCCAGCCAGAGGGATCTTTAGCTGATTGACATGTCTCCAGGATTGGGGGAAGGTGGTGGTGGTGGGTGGGGGAGAGCAAGCAGTGCCGATGAATGACAGGGCAGGGGGTCTGGCCCTGATTTAAAGCCACAGAGCCCCTTTCATGTTGATGCGTGGCAGCATGGGTGATTGGCATGGCATGGCCCCCACGTCCCTGCCAACACGCCGTTAGCGCTCGACAGACAGCCACGCCACCGGGGGCCTCCCGTAATGCTTTTTTCCCACATGAATCACCCGTTGCTTGGGTCGCCATCAAGGGGTTAACGCTGCAGTGTGCGGTAAAATTAGCTAGGCAGCTTCAGCACGTAACCATCAGTCGTTATGTCATGGATTAAAAAAAAACAACAACAATAATTCACAAAATTTCACTTGGCTGTCCGCTGACATTGCAAATGTTATTTTTGACTTTGTTTTATATCAAAGAGGTGATGCCATAGTTAAATCGATCTGGCCTTGATTTTTGTTTTAATGTAAAGATTTGCAATCTATCATGGAGAAGAAAACATGAAGACAAAGCTGTCTGCAGAATGTGAAGAGGAAAGACGTGTTTTTTTTAAATGAAAAAAAGTTAAAAATATATATTTACACACAGATATAGGGCCTGATAACAAAAAAAGTGAAAAATTTCACGTCGGAAAAACATTCAACAAACTTACAGAAAACCATTTGAAACCAAGAAAGCAGTAAGATGTGGTTTTTAATTTATTTATTCGTGTTACAAAAATAAAGGGGGACTATAGTAAAATGTAAAGTCAAGTGGAGAGTTGCAGGGATGCAGGGTGGGAGTTGTGATGTCACGTTCGTGCGGGGTCAGCCCAAGGTTCCCGAGGACCGTCCAGGTTCACTCAGAGTTCAGCAGTGTTCTCCAGGGGCGGACCCAACCCTGCCATTGTGTGACGTGCTCTGCCAAATATCCCACACTGCTAAAATATCCCATGGGAGGGTGCATAACCCGGAGTGTGTGCACACAACGAAGTCTGAAAGTTCGTTGTTTTTTTTTTCTTCTCTTGTGTGGCCAGGGATGGTGCTGGAAACTTCTGTTGTACAGTGCAATACTGATGGTTGGAACAACAAAAAAAACAACGTTGGATCGGGTCGGTTTGTTGATTTTCATTTTTTTTAGTATGCCTGGAATTTAAACATAACACCACGGGGAATTAAAGACTCAGTTGTGTGGGCTCTGCGATGGTGAAAAATGACATCATTAAAGTCGCAAGAGTGACAGCAAGCTTTACAAGAGCAGTTTGTTAATGATCTGCAACGTTACATAAGACCAGATTCTACGGTTTTTTTTTATTTCTCAAAGCCAATGCTATTGTGGCTCAAGAGCTGGCACATTCTGGTCCTTTTTTTGCGCGTGTGTGTGTAACATCTCACGTACAAATGCCACTTTACCTACAGTGGTTGTCAGTGAACTTGCTGGTTTATAGGCTATCACACTACTCGGATGGTTTATGGGTTGATTTAGATCAGAGCTTCGGTGCGTGTCTATATATATATTAATTTTTTTAATGGGTGAAAATTAAAAAAAGAATGGCACACCGAAAAAATATAGTGCCGGGCACTGTATGCGTGCACGTCCAGAAAAGTAGTGCGGCCTGAGGAATGTGCTGCTGAGGGACTTGGCAGGACCCCGGCCAATAGGCAGGAAGTGGGCTGAGCCCAACCCAGTGGACTATTCCATTCGCAAGCAGGAGTGCTTATCGGAGGGGGGGGGGGATTGGGAAGGCATTCTACCACGCTAAGCGCATCGTCATTAAATGTCTCTAAAGTGAATTCTAAAAGGTTTGTTTTGTTGCACGGGTGTGATTCAATTAGATTTTCCAGCCACCGCTGTAGACAAAATCGGGTGCATGTGGACGAGGGGGAAGACGCGTTCATAAACCCCGACACCCCCCGCCACCCCGTCCCCTGATGGGGTGGCGCGGAGCATGGTTTAGTAGCCAGAGGGCAATCTGGCTCAGTTACAGGCTCTTAGCTCTGTTTTCTACCATAACTCATGAACCGTGTGGGTGGAGGGACGCTCTGCCTGCTTTGCCTTGGTGTAGATGAGGGAGAAGGGCGCAAGTGAGCCGAGAACAGGGAAGTTTATATGCGCGGAGCATACGAATACATTCGACGCGAAATTGTTTTCGTTTGAAGACCACTGAACGTGGATTTTTTTTAAAAAATATATATATTTAAAAAAAAAGACAGAATTTGTGTCGCATTAAAAATATTTTTTTGGTTAAACAAAAAAAAGAAAGTATCTTTAAACAAACCAAGAGATTTAAGAACCAAGAGAAAACGACTACCTTACCGAGCGCCGTTCTACAGCAGACGAAAGCGGGGATAACTGTGCTGCACGTACTGGAATGAGTGCGGTCTCTTTGGGAAATCTCCTACGCATCTTGTTCCGAGTCTTCCGCTGCCACCGCGCAACGAGGAGCCGCCCGCGCTCCACTCCCACGCGAAGTTCAAACTTCGACAAACTTTGCCAAGGCGGGCGGGCGGGCGGGCGCAGGAGTCGGCGGGCACAGCGCTGCGGCGCCGCAAAACACTCGCGATACCACGCGGCGTTCGCTTTCGGCCGCCAGGTTGTTGTTAAAGAAGTTGCGGGGAGGTGGCGGGGTGGAGAGAAAAAAAACAACCCCACCACCAGGTTTCCTTTCTCGGCGTTGCGCGACCCCCGGCACATTCGGGCCCAGGTGTGTGTGTGTGTTGGTGGGTGGGGTGCTTGCCATGTACGACTGCATGCTGGAGTCGCTGGCCATCAGCCCGCGCACGGGCCGCGATGTGCCACGAGGAGGGCCCCCTGCCTGCATGCTCCAGGGACACGCGGCGGCATTTCCTCCCGTGCCCAGCCTCGCTCACAATTGGGACTGGGCCCAGCCGCCCCTGGGGCCACCTCCTCTGCCACCACTGCCGCCTGGACAGCCGCACTCGCTGCAGAAGCAGCAGCAGCAGCACCACCAGCACCACCACCAGCACCATCGTCAACCTCTCAGCAGTCCCTGTGAGTACCTTTTTGGGCATTTGGCCGAGCGACATTCTTTATTGGGTGGCGATCTTCTCTGGAGGCAACAGTCGTGTCCGAACAAGTACCTGGGGTGGCGCGCATCTCTGTTGGTGGCACTTGGCCAGCGGTGGAAATTCCACGTTCGCATGTTAGGGAGCGGGTTTTTTTTTTCTTGCCGGAAGGGACTACCACACTCATATTTTGAGCCGGCAGGGTGAAGGGATGAGCGGATCCCCATTCCTGACCAGGATTTGAACTCGCAACCTTCCGATTGTGAGTTCGGCATTCTGATCGCAACACCGCCCAGCCAAAACTTGATAACTTTGACGTTTACTCTTCATGCATCTGCAAATGCGGTATGAATTGGAACATTCAATGTATAAAACTGAATACATGTAAGGTGAGTGGGAAGTTCCTTATTACCTGTGTGAGACCAATCCACTGGACTCTTGATGGCATCTTTTGTCTCAACTGTTACGAAATTGAGAATTGGCATTTTCAAGGAATGAACAATGCAGTTCTTTTGCAGAAACGGTAACGTTTTCTTTGGCAGTTTGAGTGACGAATAGAAACTGGAAAAATGACGCATAGTGCTAGTTTTCCATGTGAACTAACTATGGTTTGGAAATACACGCATTGCTCTATAAATACCCTGTAGCGAGGAAAAAATTGGAACGTGCTATAAAGTAATATAGAAGATTGTAAACATTCCCAGAGAGAGAGAGAGAGAAAAAACATGCAGTTTGTATATAATATGCAGCGGTACCTGGGAGTCTTCTTGTCAAAAATAATGTATTACAGTAAAATGAAGCCCATGTATTTGATAAAATATTGTTTACTTAAATTGTTTTTTGATACTGCGTTGGCAGTGGTGGAAATATAATATGCAATAGGTGACGTTTTAGGGAATGGCCCTTCTGGTGTTGAGAGGAGTGTCCACACATGTGTAGTGATAAAGTGTGCATTGAGATTAGTGGGAGGCGTGGAGAGGATGGGGAATAAAAACAATCGTTTTATAAAAAAAAGGGACTTCGTATGATTTAAGAGGGGGGTATCTTTTGAAGGATTACACCCTACATGGTACGGGGAGAGTATTGTCAAGCACCGTTTTAAACGTCCAGAGAAAATCTCTTAGGACGAGATGCCTCTGTGGTGGTGTTTTCCAATTTGTCGAGTTTTGTTACAGTTCACTAATTTTTTTTATTTAAAGCTTTCGTGACTGCAGGAATTCATATTCTTGGTTCTTTCGGTAAAGTCACGTAGAAGGGAAACAATAAAATAATAAAAATATAAAACAATAAAATTCTCACGACGTTTAGACTGCAACGCAAGCAATCATCATCAGGTGTGAAAACCACACTTTTGTATTATTTTATTGTTTCTCTTCTACGTGACTTTACCGAAAGAACCAAGAATACGTTCACTAATTGTTTTATTAGCATGAAAATCCCTTTTATTACAGCTATCCTTGTGATATCTGTCGGCAATCTACAGGCGGGATATTTTTTTAGAATAACCAAGTTCAATTGATCCAATGTCGCATTAATTATGGTTTCCTGTATAAAGGTTATACATAAATGAACTCTTAACTGCCCTTAATTACATTTGTGTCATTAGGGATCTTATAACGCATGTGGTCTTAATTAATCAGTATATACGTACAAAGGATACTTCAGTATAACATGTCGGCTTTCGCGACCAATATCCAAAATAAATATTTTTGGGGGGTTAGTTCGCGTAAAAATGTGTCATTAAACCCACCACAGCCAATTAGTAAGGTTTGTCACGTAAACTTAGCATGCCAATTCGTTACTAGTACAGCACTAAGCGGTGTGCTACAGAGCAAACCCACAACATTTACACTAGTTATTTTATCAAAGTATGCTTCCACAGTATATACTTGACCCCTTTTTAATATTTTCAATTTTAATATTTTCTCTAATTTATATTAATGATTACCCTACGAAAGTGTCAGGATAACAACTTTACTCTAACACCGTATACCAGACAAACCACATGTTTCACGACCGCTGGCAATGCAGACGTATAAGGAATGAACGTTTTTCCATTTTTGTGGCGTCCAAATGTAATGTACTTAACAAGTAACTAGGTTCGAGTTTGAATAGGATTTGCAGAGAAGCACTGGGATATTTTTTTTAGTAAATTAAAACTCAACTAGCAAAGGTATATTTTTTAAAAATGAAACTTTTTCGTGAGAAGCGTTAATCAGGTTGTGCTTATTCCTTGACCAAAGGATGTTGCTTTCATGGAATTATCCCAGCCGGGGGTCTTTAATGAGAACTGCCGCAGAATGGCAAGCAAAGCTGTGATAAATACAAAGTGTGTTGCGCCCGGGGCAAGCAAGCGAGGCAGAGAAGTCAACTGGACAGATTATAAAAATGAACCAATTATAAAAGGATTGCGACTAATGGTGACAGATTCGGTGTGCCTAAAGTCTCTATCCGCTATGTAAGTGCAATCGTTTTTTCTTCTTCATGAAAACGCCAATAATGGAATTGATGATGTGCATAGCCCAAGTTGTCAATCCATTTCTGGTTGAGGGCTCCCCCCCCCCACATCTTACCGTGCGGGTCGTGGTGGTTAATTGACCATACTTCACCTTGCTGGTTGGTGGTAAAGAAAGAATGAAATGTTGATTGTTACCTTATGTTACTGTATGGAGGCTATGATTAATCGAAGGTTATAGATACAGTATTGTATTGGAGAGAACTAGACAGAGAGGTGTCACAAACCAAACACGAGGCTGTTTTTTTAATGCTCTTTTTAGAAAGATTGTTACAATATGATAATTATTTAATGTTATGGGTTATTTTAAAATTATGAAGTGCAAATGTGCATTTTTTTTTATTAATCATGCCTTTATCGGATTTCATTTCAACAGATTACATAGAGCACAATATTTGTAGCTTATAAAATGCAAGCACGTAGAAGTATAACATCGCATATGGTGTACACAGTACCGTAGTATGAAATAAGCAACGATTACTTTGAAATGTAATTATCAGTAGCAATCACAAAACCATTACACGTGATAGAATTCGCAATGCTTATGGGGGAACACTTCTTTGTAATCAAGAAGATGAGAGCCATCTGCGGCGGCTTTGTGTGCCGAGGACTTGATAGATGGATGGCGTATGCGGGCAGTACCTGAAGTCCTCATCCATGACATCCAGATAAGAGCCGCCACTGACTGTTGTTAGCTAAGGGAAGGGGGGGGGAGAAGCACTTAACAATAGTTTACCATTGTTGCGCCTTCGTTTAAAGTGTGGTCTGTCCTACTGGCCTGGGTTGTTGTGTGTGCCGCACGGGCAGCGCCCCGGCCAAACCTGTTGGAAACATTCTGCTGCTGCTCATTTCTGTTGTTCGAAGGTTAATTGGTCAATGCACGCACTCATACCAGCCACACAACACATTGCCAAGTTGTGATGATGATGATGATGGGGGTGGGGAACGTGTACCCGCCACTGGTAAAACAGGACGAGAACGTGTTCAAGGTTGCTGCTGTTTGGCTGTACAATAATGATAATTCGAATCTACGGTCCTTTTGTCAGTCCGCATGCCGTGTAAGTTAGGTGGATTCTTTTGAGCGTACTGAACTTCTTCACCACCCTGGGTCAGTGCGGGATAGGTGACCGGGGTGGGTGACGGTGGTGTTGCTCAGGGCCTGTTCAAATATCACTCGCCACTGATGATCGCCATGCCCTGGGAGTTCAACTCGGCTCATCAAGTTCATAGTGCAGTGTGGGAAACCACTGTCGCACGCCCATATTCAGCATCGTACTTACATAGAGATCCCCAAGTGATACTGGAGTCGAGCATTGTTTTGCTGAATAGCAGCAGAATAAACACAAACGGGCAGCTACCCCTGTCGACAATTAAACTATGAAAACTACTAAACACCGCAGGTGTCCCTTGGTACTTTCGTGTGGGGATTACTGGAAAGAACCTCGCTGTGTTCGCAAGCTATGTTCATCGACTCTCCGTGCCGTTAAGTGACCGATCCACCCCTAACATCCCCACCACCCCTCAACCATTGGTCGCCGTGGTGCAGTGCGGCCACCACCCCCGGCCGTCGGCCACCACCCCCGGCCGTCGGCCACCACCCCCGGCCGTCGGCCACCACCCCCGGCCGTCGGCCACCACCCCCGGCCGTCGGCCACCACCCCCGGCCGTCGGCCACCACCCCCGGCCGTCGGCCACCACCCCCGGCCGTCGGCCACCACCCCCGGCCGTCGGCCACCACCCCCGGCCGTCGGCCACCACCCCCGGCCGTCGGCCACCACCCCCGGCCCTCTCAACTCCCTCGGTCGCACGTTACCGCAGGTGGGCAAAGGCTGGAGCGAGCTCGAGAGTGAGCGCCGTCGAGCGAAAGAAAGTGGAGACAGTACTCGGATGGAGCAGTGACACAATAATATCAACTACTTAACAATTTTTTTTATTTGACCAGGTCAAGCCCACCGAGCTATATAGCTATATTTTTTTTAGAAGCGACCTGGCCCCCACAAATGATATCTCAACAAAGTGGCATATCACGTGGAAATTTATCACGGCTAAATACTCTTAAACAATGTTGAACTTGCTGTGCTCTGAAGCCCGTGGTCCTGAGTTGGGTTCCCAGCCACGGCCAACATCAGTGGCGAGTAATATCTGAAATATATGATGGGGGTCCCCCCTTCACCAAAGTGCACTGATCAGCATGGTGAAGTATGGTGAAATAACCCCCATGGCCGATAAGCTGTGGGCAGGCTTTCATCCAGAAGTGGATTAAAGGGCTGTACACGATTTTAGGTACAGTTTCGTCCAGTACTGTGAAGTTAAAATTGTGTTGCGTATTTAAATATATTGCCTTGCTTCCACTGTCTTTACAGCAGTTAACTGAGTTAACTGTTGGTATTCATGATTATGGTTATCTTCTTTGCAGCATATTTAAATATGCACTAAGGTATACTAATCTGTGGTACATGTCGATTGTTTTA